TGAGTAAATATACATACTTACAATCGATGTATGTGTAAATGTGTTTATGTTACAAGTGCACTTACCGTTACAACGTTTTTATACACCGTTATGTACATAAGTAGTCTTGTAACTTTGTGGTTGTGGCCTTCGCGAAATGTACTTGAGTGCGATTGTGAGTGGAGTTTTTTTTAACTTTACGGAAATGAGTGGCATTTGGAGGTTATACACAGCTAGACGCTATCTTAATACCTATTTGAGCACATTGAAATTGCAATATAAACATACGCTTTAGTGTACGCAAACCACGAGATAAGAAAAAAAAACTATTGGAGAAATAAAATATTTTTAGATCCGAGCAAAATCTTGTAAAGAATTTATACCAAATTAATTATAGAGTAATTTTTTGTTATCGTACTTTATATCCATATATTCTGTTATACGCAGCCAGCTTACCAGATTCCATAGTTCAATTAATTTATTACCTAAATAATAGAGTTATATATTAGGTCCTCCAGATATTATTATGCATACAAATAATTTATAAATATTCTTTTATTTGTTATGTACAATTAACAGCAATGAGACAGCTTGCTTATATTGAATTTTTCCTCTTACCTATATCCCACATAAATTTGTGTAAATTCCTAATGAAGTCATTCAACATGGGTCGTCTTTTTAATATAAAAGCTTTAAAAAAAGTGTCATATTGTTGTATTTGTAATTGCTAAAAACCTTAATTTCACTGACGCAAAGAAGAATGTGAATTACTTCGGCATGAGAAGCATCGTGCAGCTTGCCTTTTTCTAATCTTATTTTGACTTTGTGTTTATGCAAATTTTTTCTCTGCGTGAAATTTTTCGTTCTTTTGCCATAACTTTTTTGCGCTTTTTCAGTATTTCAGTTCGCATTAAAATGGATTAGATATGGAGATTATTGATGAGCACCTAAATAGACAAAGTTAAAAAAAGTATTAGCGCATTGTTCAATCTTAAAAAATGACTCGTTAAAAAACTTATCAGACGCTGAAATTTTAAAAGCATTATATTTACAATAAAATGTATGAAGTATATTGACATATTTATTCTGTTTAAACGTTCATATGTATGTTATAAAAGAGCCCGATCGATTATGATATAAAATATTCTAGCTTAATATCCAATGTATTTGTTCGTTTTAAATGTACAATATTTGTAAGAGAGTGTATATCACTTTCAGCTATAATGTAATAGGTTCATTACGGCGCTTACACACATGTATGTATTAACTAATTATTAAATCGAGTTCAATTAATTTTTATTTTTGTTGATTCCTGTAGTGGTTTTATGCTATATTTAATTAATGAAAACGTATGAATTAAATATGTGTCCATCAGATGTTAGAATATATCTACATACATTTGTCTAAATTAAATTTGTGCTTTTCAGCAAATTTTGACCTTCTCTGACAGTCAGATTATATTGCGTTTGTAATTACGCTGCTGCGTTAATAGAACAAATTCAATTTGCGTGGCATATGTTTGTATTCATGAACGTAATTAAGTAGTTATTACGATAATTGGAACGGTTTTCGTCTCTAGTTTGACCTTTTTATCTACTAACGAACTATTATTTAGATATCGCCATAGTCGAATTTCTCTTTGCCTTTTGATGGAAATTAGGTATGCAAAGGTGATATAACATTATAATTGTTAGTCCTCTTCGAATTGCGTTCTTTTCTGTGTGCTATATTTGAGCGCTGCATTTTTAGCAAAATATTAATTTTTAAAAGCAGTAACAAAGTTATATGTGTGAATAAATCTTTAAAGCTTGAATAAATATGCTTAAACATCTTAATAAAAAGAATATTTTAAAATACAGTGTTTGTTGTGTTTTGTTAACAGTGCCCTTTTCCAGACAATGCATTCCCAAAGCAGTTTTTTTAACGCATTCGCTATTAATTTGTTTGAATCATGTTGAAAATACTGGAAGTTTGGTTTAGATAGAACTACGGTAACCCGTTCCGCTTTTCATCCAAACTTGTATTATATTTAAATAAACCGACATCGATCTGCATGTGATAATTTGTGCTTTTTGTAACGCTTTTATTAGCTTCACCTGTATGTTTGTTGTGCAAGCGATAGCTTGAGTATACATTGAGATATCACTTTTCCTCCTGCAAAAAAAACCCTTAAAACTATGCAGCTAAATGCATCAACCTCCAGAGAAAGGTGAGTTCGTTTGTGAGTATAGTGAATCTATTTGAGACAAAGGTGAGCTATTATAAGACGTGAGGTTAGAGGTGATTTCAGTGCAGGAAGTGAGTCCAAGTGAGTTATCAGAGTTTATGGAGAGAGAGATTAGTTCTGTTTGTTTTTGGTGTCGTTGAGATGTTTCTAAATAATACTTGAGCAGATTCCACTATGGGCGATTCGGAAATATTGGTTTGCTCTAACGATGGAGAGTTTGTAAGTTGATTGATATTTTTGATGTATTTTGGTCAATTTGTTTGTAATCCCTCTAATGTTGTTGGTGTTTATAGTGGTAGGAAAGTCAACATTTGTGTTTGTTGTTTCTATATTTTCGCTAGAACTAATAATGCATGAATTGGATGCTATTGAAGCATATGAGTTGCTGCATGAAAGAGCTGGTTTTGTTTGTTGCTTATTAATTTTTATTGAACATTTGTTTATTGTTTTAACTTTTATTATATGGCATGAGGGGAACGAGTAAAACGCTTTGCCGCGTGACCAAAAAGTTCGCAGTTTTTGCAACGCATTGTCCAAGGAATATATTGACGTACTAAAAGTTTATACTAAGTAACGTAAATTTTATTCGGTAACTTGCAAAGGTTAAAAGTTAGTAACAAAAGGCCCGAGGGGTGCGGTTACCTTCAATAAAATTTTTAAGTTTAAACACTGACACAACACTTTGAGAGCTGAGCTCATTTACTATTTCCTCCTCTGATACGTTGTGTAGGAATAGAGCAAATATCGTGCCCTTTACGTGGTTAATAGTTTCGTGTTGGGTGGTTGATATGGAAAATATGTTCAGCAGTTTTTTTACTTTCATGAATTTTTCCGCAATTTCGCTATTCTTAACAAGCAGCAGCAATTTTTCATCTCGAAGGGTAGATATTGAGTGTATGTAACTGCTAATTTGCTTAATAGCATGATAAAGCAGAGCAATAATAGGAAGAAATCACTACGAATTCGGGGTCGTCAACTTTTACTCAGGAAGCTCTGGAAAACCCATAATCGAGACACTTCCCCTAGGTCCCTCGCCACGATGTTTTTAGGCCCCGGGGCCATTTTGCACGTGAAAACTAAGCCCTGGATCTAATGTATTTTGACTGTAATAGCACCTTATCAGGATTTGAGCCTTTTTAAGACAATGAAGACTTCTGAAAAAATCGATACAAAAGTCTTGAAAGATGCTTTAGATTAACCAAGAAATTAAAATAAAAACGGTTGAAAGTTTAACCAAAGAGAATCCGTCCACCCATGGTTGCTATGGCTAAATAAAAATGCCAAGAAAAAGTTTTCAGTGCTGACGTTAAGAATACACGTGATGCAAGAATGCAATGGTATCATTACAGTTGAAGAAGAGCATAAGCAATTCTTATTGTGCTGCGTACAAGAACAGCGGAAAATTTATCCTGACTGTAGAAAACAACTCCTAAAAATGAATAATATTTGCTTATGAATAATATTAAACAGTAATATGCTTTAGGTATATTAGTGTTTCACATGTGCATTTAGAAAAAATAGAGGGTATATGATTTAATTTTCGAGATAAACAACTTGTCTTATATCTTGGAACACCCTAATGTACTCGTATGGAAATATTGTCAAATAAAAAAGAAATATTTTAAAAAATATAACATACTATATGAAGACTAAATTTCTCAAAAATTTTCAGGTGGAATTTACAACATCAGCAAACAAATGAATTATATTTAAAATTTAGTATTTCATTTTCATAAATTATATAAAAAAAACTAACACTGGCTGGACTTTCTAAAAGCTTTGACGATGATAAAAAAAAGCTTAGAAATTTTCACAATATTCGGACTAATTACAAAGTCATTGTAATACTTTATGTTACATTTTTCTATTTAAATTTGTTCTATTTAAATTGGAGATGAAACCAATGAAGCACTAACATCCTATCTACTCCATATAGATGGAGTTTTCCCTCATTTGGATTAAGTTGCTATCTGTTTGTAAATGCAGTAAAACGCACGAAGTCCCATCAAAGTCTGCATCGTTAACGAAGGAAATTGAAAAAGGCAGAAGTAGAGAATTAACAACAAAAAGTCAAAAGAAAAATATAAAATAGCAATTTCTTTTTTGCCATTAAAGTCTCAAAAGTATATTATGCATACAATGCACAGCGGCTGGTTTGACTTTGTGCAGTAGTCAGTTCATATTTTCTTTGGTTGCGCGCTCTCGTAACCGTATTACCGTTTGCTAACATTATAATTTTCTACCGGTATGGGGTCTAAAATCAATAAGTGATAAAAAGTTTAATGAGTGTTGCACCACAATGGCTGCCGACAATTCGAAATGAACACTGCTTTAAATTTTATATTTATTCTTAAGAGCTAAGTAATATAATATACAAAATTCTTCGTTGTAAAACTTTCTAGTATGGTGTGTCTTTAAGCCAAGTATCCAAAATATGATTTCGAACAATTAAATATATTTTATCGTTCAGAACAACCCATTCCTGCATTGCAGCTGCAATTTTGTTTTTTAGTCATTTTATTATTTGTTTTATTTTACCTACTATATCTTCAATATTAATTCTAAATACTTATTTCGAAATAGTGATTTATTATTCTCGCACAATTATTTGGCATTTGTATGCAATATTCATTATACGTATTTTATACGAATAATTTGGGTTTCTACTATTTTATACACAAATTAGATTATTGGACATATTTAAGATATTTAATTTAGTAGAATAAAACAATAATTAATTATTAGGAACATATTCATTTCATTAGCTTAATCCATACTAATTTTCTATTCTCAGATGTCAATGTCCAAATTAAAATAAAGGCGGATATAAAAATAAGTAATGAAAAGGTGAGTTAAATATAATGTAATTTAAATAAAACGTAAATATTCGTATAAGTTTTCATAGTAGTTCGCTTTCAACTATGAAAATCTGATTACTTTGCCACACACAAATGTAGTCGTATATAGATATCTTTATGTGCCTTTAACACAAATATTGATTTTGTTATATTTATAATTTAAATAATAATAATAATTATAATATTTATAATCAATAACACAATAAGAGCCAAATACACGTGTTTAATATACACATACAATATCAGAACTTTCCAGAGAAGTTCATTCGTTTTTAAATTCATTAATATTTAAGCGGTTTAAGTGCAACACTTGCGGCATAAATATTGCCAATAATAATCATGCCAATGAGAGTACATTCAAGTGTAAATAAGTGCATATATTCGTAAATATAATATACATTTTTTCTGTGCGTGTGTTGGTTAAAAATACACACTCTTATACGGCTTTATCGTTCATGCGTTGTTGAATGCAGTTTGTTTTTGCAATGTATACACCAAAAATTTAACCTACAAGAAATTTGGTGATGCTCCTTTAGAAAGAATTAACTTAACTACAGATATAATAACTGCATACGCATTTCACATTTGAATTAAGTACAAGTCGTTGCATGTTTACCATTAAATCTTATTTCTACACTTGCATTAGTCGATTAGACCTAAGGTATAGACTTTTGTAAGTCCAAAAACTTTGTCTACTGGTTTTACTAACTGGCTTGTGTTTTCAAGAGGAGAATAAACTCAGGTATTAGGGACAAAGTTTATGATGCTAATAAATTCAAAATCAGTTTTGTGTAATAAGATGCCGACTGCATTAAAACAACTGCATTGGAATGAAGATAATTTTGAGAATATTTAATCGAATGCTTTTGTGGAAAAAAGCTTCATGTTTAATGGTTCAAGTGTAAGGTCTTTACTTGCTATATCAAAATTTAGCCTTTTAACTTCAAATAAATCCTTCCTTGGAAATCTATAAAATCTGTTGTAGTAAAAATAAATTTTTGAACTGTGCTCAGCATTCACTTTTCAGTGATAGTTTATATTAAATGCAATCAGTGGCTTTAAAGAATGCCGCTTACATAAGCGAATTTACATATAAACATTATTTTGATGCGACATTATCACTAGTGTCCATTTGCAATAGACTTTCATTTTCTTTAATTTCACTTAAAATACACACTAACCTTCAAAACAAACTTTGCACGAAATGAAATATTCGTGACAACATTTCTGCGAACTAAACTTCATTAAAAATATTCATTAATTTGGAAATACTTTACAATACTAGAATAACCTCCAGATATGTAAAATGTCAAGGAAGACTTTACAACCGAAATGCTAAATGTAAAAGGGTAAAAATACGGTTGTTAAGAGTTTGCGTAAGCAGAAGAAAAATTGCAAAGCAGCAATTATTTTCGGTCACCATTTAAGGCTTTTTAGCATATGTTTAAGTATTTTATTACAGCTGCAGTTTTTTTAAAACACTTAGAACAAAGGAACTACCATGAAATATTTAATGGTCAGTGCAACTTATCATATTTTAATATTTATACAATTGCTCACCATGGCGAATACATAACATTCAATGCTGTTTACAAGCTAGGCAAATTTTAGTTAATTCATGCAATATGCTTGAACAACAAACATAATTATCAAAGCAGGCAACAGTGCATGTAAGAAAAAATTGTATCGCCGTCAATATATTCTATAGTAAGTTCACTATTATCGAAGTTTAACTATAAATTGACGTCTAATGCATTCGATGTCAGTAAAGTACGAGTCAATACACTTAAGTAAATACACCATATATTTATATGCACAATTTGTTATCAGTATCACAGTTCAATTGTATTCAATACAAATGTATCAAATTTGATTGATAATGACAAATTTCTCAAGTTATGAGGACAACACTGCTTTCAATTTGATTTTAAAACATGTTTGGGCATTAATGAAAGCTATAATATCAAGAAAACATTTGAAGGCAACAAAATATTTTATTCGGCCACTTCAACATACCTGGTATGCGAAAAAAAATTCCTCTTCCTGAGGAATATGCGAAAAATTTAGTTGGAAGTGGCCATCAAAGATGTCTGGCTATATATACGCCAGCTATAACAAAACCATTTATTTTCTATAATTACAGCATGTTTCCCATTAAATGTTACCTACACTTTGGAAAACGAAAATTCTATTTTTTGAACGCACTGTAAGTATACTTACCATGTGTTCTCCGCGTCTATGAATACTGACTATGTACTCGTAAATATATACAGGTTCGACAATGGAGATGAAGTGATTTTGACAGATCGTGGCGGCTATGTTTGTATACGGATTTGTGTAAAATTTTGTCAGTCTGTTCAGGAAGGAAATCCGAAAAATCATCTTGTTAAAGGAGGCCCATTTCTTGCTTAATGGCTTCGGCTATTGGGTTGAGTCAAATTCTAATGTGGTTCAAGGAAACACAATAATATCCCTTAAAATTTACCGGTTGGTGCGGATTGTAATATGTCCGCCATGATCATGTGATTTAACGCCTCTATATAATTTTCTCTAAGGTATGTTAAATCAAATGTTTGCGCCAATCAACCCGCAATGTTCGTAGAGCTCGAAGACAGTAAAAAAAAAACAGAACCCTTTTTTGTTTATCAAATTGTAGTGTTTTATTTCTATATTACATTATGTCCTTCGTGTTGGTAGATCTTATACTATATGCACATATGTATATAGATAATCATTAGGGTACAAAAAGCCGATATGCATGTTGGAGCCGTGTTTTACACGTACATACAGTTGCTGTAGCGGCTAAGATTCCTTATTATATACAAAAACATAAAAGAATTTGTCAAAAGTAAACATATACATATACCTTTTTATGCACTCCAGCAACAAAAAACAATAAAACTTTAAAAAGTGTAAGAATATATGCCCATTATCATGACCATAATAAACTCTTTCAAATTTTTTATCAGATAATAGCTTAAAGTCAATTTTTAAAATAAATCCATATTTTTACACAGATTTTCATATGAAAATAAACTTTCTTAACAAATAATTTAATATATTTATTTGCTTTTTGAAGTTTATGCTAATTAGAAATACTAAATACAAAAATTCTCCCTCTTCAAAGCGTACACTACAAAAAGAAGGAAAAGCCCTTAGCTCTCTTGAAAATATATGTGTTGCTAGAACCATACATTTTGTTCATGCTTACTTACTTGTATTTCCCTTTTTTATACCCTGAACTTATTATACCCTAAGTGTGTTACGAAATTTGTAACATCCAGAAAGATAAGCGTACTAGCCTGAACCATACATATTATTAATAACCAGTGTCAAAGGTATCAGATTTAAGGGTCCTATTTAAGAAAAAAAATTGTATACCTTATATGTGCGACGGTTATAAAAAACATTAATATTTTAATCCTGTCACAATTGACTTACAAGTTTGAATGTACGTACATACATATGTTTATATATGTGGGAGTACACGATTACACCTCTAATGAGTGGATAGTAATTTTTCATACGCCCTGTGCAACCAACTGTCGGCTTACACTGCTTGTGCTATAATAAAGCTTGATCTCAATTATAACAGAAATAAAAGAGCCTGAAAGAGTAATAGGTTCGCTGTATATCTATGGTAATTTGTCTAATGTGTAGCCAACTCTGAAACGACCAACGACTGACCACTAAATGCGTTGGACTGGGAAACACTTTAATCAGTTCGTGGCTTTTCTATCTGATTGTTTATGTCATTTCTGTGCCGATTATTTAGCTAAAAAAAGGTTTTATAATGTGTCTAAATACCGTGAACATAGACAACTTTGATAACTTTTTTAAAATGTTCAACTTTAAGTTGATGATTTAGAGCTTTAAGTGAGCTTTTAAAAACAAACATATTATATTACAATTATTTAAAAAGTATGTCCTTAAAGAAAATAAGCAAATATAATTTTGACTAATTTTTATGAAAAGATATCTACAAAAATACAAACAATAAATATATAAGTAAGGCGATAAAAACTATCAGCCGATAAGTAACGCTATGCCATTTTAAACAAAAACCAAGTTATCTGTAGCCAATCACAATCTGTAGGCTTCGGTGTGTGCAGTGAGCAATAGAGTCAAAAGTTGTCAAAAGTGTATAGCCCCACTATTTTCAATTTATGTAAATTGCTCGGTGTTAGTAATGTATCAGACTTTCTTTTTATATGTCTTTCAATTTATAGGAAGAGACTGCGTTTTTTGACTCATCCAAATTTCTAACGATGAGGTAACTAAAATCAACAGAAAATGTATACAGTATTAAAGTTAAGTTAATAGAAAATTTTCGATTGGTAAATTTTTGTTGTTTGCTAAATTTGACAAAAATTTAACTCTGAATAATAATATGAAAGCTACATGTTGATACATAATTGCTCGTTGGCAATCAAATAAACAACTCTTACAAAACGTTTTCAAATACCTACTTGTATGTATGTACACAGTAATCGCATTTGAATAATTCATTTAAATGTCGTCAGTCAAATAGTCATGTCATGATGAGACTGATCGAGTTCCATAGTGATTAGGTTGGGTGAATGTAACTTAATTGTTTGCTGGGCGAATTGGAGCATGGGTTGGGAATTATGGGGGTAAACATTTATTCGTATGTATGTTTGTATATGCAAATGACTAATGCTGATGGGGATTAGGTTGGTGCAAATGCGAATAATTTCGCCTCTGCTTGTTGCTGTGATTAAGAATTATTTATTTCTCGCTGAATTGGTTATTTGAATCGACAGAGCGTTGATTTATCGAATAATTTATTCTGAAGTTTGAGCGAGTTGTATTCTATTTACTGCAGAAACAAAATAATAATAAATTAAACTGCATTTATGCAATTTTACCTTATTTGGTAAAATTTTATATTTATATTTTATGTCCGAAATTTATATCGTATTTAACAAACTAAATTACGTTTCTCACAGTTTTATTTGCATTTGTTGGATTTTGACGCAATTCGCAATGAGCTGCTAAACTAAAAAGCGCTGCTCAAAATTTTGCACTGCAAATAGTTTGTTAATCGAAATATCAATATTAATGATATTATTTTTAAGCTCTGTAATTTGTTTCAATTTCCAATCTAGGCTTAAACTGCTATAAAGTAAATATAAACACCTCTAATCGACGTATGCGTTTGCATATGCATTAATTCCTCAAGCGCTCTTATCGTTACGAAATTTCTTACATGATGTGTACATAAGTATTTTTTATAACTTTATAGTTGTGGCCTTCGTGAAACGCACTCGAATATAATGGTGAGCAGAGGATATTATAACTTTGTGGTAAACGAAGGTACATCATTTGGTGCATGTACACAACTGCACGCTCTTTTAATGCTTGCTTGAACCCATTGTCAGGGCAATATACATAAATAAATTTGTTTAAGCATTATATATTCCATTCATTGGAATAACAAAAGGAAAAGGTGATCGTTTGTACGTGTGTAGGTACGTTTGTACGTGTGTAGGTATTACTTTTATGTTCTAAAGTGTAGGAGTAAATTAAAAACTATAATACTTGTAAGCCAAAGGAAAATAAAAAGATCAAGTTTTACTAGAAATTTAATTGTTACGATTTATAGTTATTTGCAAATAAAAAATGTTATGTTATTAGATGTACAAATGTCCTACAAATACTTGTATCTGTTATTTTGGGCGTAGTTAATACAATGCATCTTAAGCGATATTTTCAGCAATATCTTAATAAATGTTTGTATTAGTCTACAAGTATTAAAGAACGATAACCACTGCATAGAAGAGCAGCGTAGAATTCGAAAAGAGTAAGCAAATCCAAAACACAATATTTTCGCTCCGATCTCACTTGCATGTTCCTCACCGAATGGTTCCAAATTTGGGAGAGAGAAATTTAAATAGGCATATGAAAAGGATATTTTTCATCTCAATGTAGCCGCTGCTACGCCCATCGTCTAATTTTGACGCCGGCTCCTATAAAACCTTCTTGTACCATCTCGAATGTAAAATTTATTGTCTCTGGCGTATTTATTTATTGATTTTTTACTTACTACTTTTAGTAGTTTTTAACAGTTTTATTATATGGGAAGTGAGCAGGATTATCATCCGATCATTCATTTTTAGAGTGCCGGTAGTGATCCTTAAGCGATTTATTTTAGGCGAATTTGGTTATTTTAGCTTGAATGATTTAGGAGATACGTACATAAAACCTCTTAGAGGGCGGGCCCAATCACATTTTTACAAAAAATTTAGCCCACAAGTGCCCCTTTCTACTACGATACTTTGTGCCAAATTACAGTTTTATAACTTAATTTACGGTAGTGCTTAGTTATGGCATTTTATTTATAGGTTTTCGAATAATGTCGTTTTATTAGCGTGGCAGTTGTCTGATTATGCCCATTTACAAACTCGTCTTCACTTTTTTGGCAAAATTATAAAAAACAAATTTGCCTTAATATAGTCAAACTTCAAACGTTGATATCATTAAAACGGTTAGGTCGGTTGATGAACTCAATATTACATCGAATTTAATTAACTTAGTCGTCCACCCCTTGCAATAGCTTTATGCTTGAAGTAATAAATGTAAATTTACTCGTAGGTATCGTATCTACTCAGCACAAACATATTTCAGACAGTAATATTATATTTCGATTAATTACAAACGCTAATGAGTCAAAGAAAGGAAACTGCATCGTGATTAACTACCGCCTTCGATTTCCCACTTCTCAGTTTGGTCTATACAAGCATCACCTTGTAACTGCGTGCGATACTTGTAGCGATTAACATAATTAAAAGATTTGAAAACAATTACATAATTTAGTACAACGGATAACTTCTTAGTGTATCTCAGTAATGAGAAAACTTCTAACAGGCGTCTTTTGTAGTCGGCTTAAAGATAAATATACATAGATACTGATAAATAAGATAAAGCTACGCGAATACTTATTAAGGCGGCAATAATATAGACATCCGTATTTGTATGTAAATTCGTCTTCATTCCTTTTGTGCTACTTTCAACGCTTACAGTGTCAGACTATAGCGTTGTGTAGTTTGATGAGCTCAGTCGATTAAGCCATGCCCTTCAATCCGTCTGTCTGTATATACGCAAAACTCGTTGCTCAGTTTCTGACGACCTGAAATTTTTCACATTTAAATTTAAAATTTACTTACTAAACTACTATTTTTGAAGACATTTATTAAGCAGCTCACAAAATATTTATTGTTCCCCACATGCGTGTAACTTGTGCTAACATTTTAAATTCTCCCTAAGTACCTCTTTTGATGACTTCTATTCTGTCTATGAAGCCCAGTTTTACGAGCGCTTGTTATATTATTTTTACGTCAACGCATGTCACAAGAGATGAAGTGATGAAATAACTGCTTTTGATGGAAGTACCTGAGAGAGAAAATGTTTTCAGCAAGCTGGTGGCTTGTGCGTGTAACACCTTTCCAAAATGCGGCATTTTAGATGGCGTTATCATGGACTTCTATAGAAACACTCAGAAAACTATTTGTCGATTGTAGAAGTGAACTTAACATTTATATAAATATGTACCCGTCTGAAAATCTTTAGAAATTAAGTGATTTTGTTTATTTTGTTGATTTCAACCTCATTTATATATATATTATATTATGTTTCCTCAAAAGATTCATGACTTCCTCAGTTTTACAACAAAGCAAACAATTAAAACAAACTCCATAATGCCCATTGTGTCCTTGAACCTTAACCGTTGTCCACTATAGATCTTGTACATATATTAATTAACCAAGTTAGTTGTCAAGACTGCTGAAAAAGTCAAGTGGAATCCTCTCTAGCACATAAGTATTTGGCATGATATTTCAAGATGTACTTAATACAATCTACTAAAACTAATTAATTGAGGATGTGATGATACATAGGTATATACGAACAGGGCAAAGCAATTAAGTGCTTGTGTACTTTAAATGTCATTACTTTGTAATAATTTACAATTTAATAATGTACTCTGATGTCGCTATATATTGACAGAGCGTCAAAGATAGACTATGTGTTTTATTACCACGTGTTATACCTTTAACGAAGGGCAACAGTGAAAATCACACATTTTTGGAAAAACAAGCATTCTAATGGGGGCTTAGGACGCGAAGGCGCCAAGCAACATACAGCATCTTTTATCCACAATATCCATAGAACATGCGATGTACATACATATACATAAGTACATACGTACCCAACAAAAAGGCGTATGATAGCACGTGTCAGCTTAAGTACGTATAGAGATATACGAGTATACATTAACATATGTGCATGATGTTGGATCTTTTAACTTATTTATTGACTCACCGTACTTTTACAACAACTTCTGCTCTGCCACGTGTCAGTAGAAGCGAATTTAATTGATTTAACTGTGACCACTATAATTAAACAAGTGAGTGAGTGTCTCTCTTTCAGTGAGTGTTAATTTCAAATAGCAGCCGTCGAATTGTTTTAATATTGTAGTACAAGTGGTTTACTGGGGATACAGAGTATGAAATAGGTAGAATTAAGTAATTTATTCGAAAAGTCATAAGCCACTCTTCAAGTTCAAATAAATATTTATGCATATCTTAGTAAAATATATATATTTTAAAAGGGAAGCAAAATATTTTTTTAACAGATAGTCACTCGGAATTCAACTTGCCTCGTATTTCTGATCATTTATATAATGTATACATAACTCCATATCTATCTCGATTAGTTTTAGGTGATACAAACAGCTGTAAGGTGAACAAAACTATTACACTCTGTGGTATCATGTTGCAAAAGTATAGAAATAAAAAATATTTATATATTTTTCTACTTAGAAAAAAGTGTAGTATATGGGAAATTAAACCAGTGTACCACCTTCACTTCTACTGCCCACTTACACTAAGCCAGGACTAAGTTTTTATTAGAAAAACTTTAGAGAGAAAATCAATGGCAAAATTTTAAAATTTAGCGCTGTTTCTAGTCAATGAAGTGTTAAAAGTATATTAAAGGTGTAAAGCACAACGGCTTATTTGCCTTTGTAAAGTTTACGAACATATGTGTTTGTAATTTTTGCTTTCTTTGTGTATATTTTCTTCGGTTTTTTTACCATGTTACAAAAACGGCATATACTTATGAAAATCCGTAAACTACACGTTACCTTCTCTAATCGGCAGAAACCAATATACATATGCAGTGAATTGTACCACATAAAACTGATATCGACTTTGTGTTACGAATACGCCTAGTCGCTCTGTGTGATAAAAAATTTTCACACGCATGATTATTAGCATAATGAAGATATATGAGTTGAGTTCTAAAATAGAAGAACGAAGAAAATCAAAGCACATAGGTATGTATACACAACACATACTCATGTATTGATCATACGTTTATCATTCTAAATTTTTATCTAAATGTCCAAAATATGAATTTAAATTTATTAGTATAGCTTTATATTTAATTATGTATTAATTAATTTAAGGTTTTCCGTTTTCAGATTTGTGTCAAAATTGGAATAAAAGAGATTATTATAAAAGGTGAGCATAACGTGAAATATCATGGAACCAGAATAGTTCATAAAAAATTATGTATTGTAACATAAAAGTGCAATCGTTTAGTTTGGGTAATAATTTTTAATATGCAGTTTTAAGTACATTTTATAAGTACGAATTTATACAATTGTTTTTTAATGATTTCACTATTAGAATAATAATGAAACAAATTAAGTAGGAATCGTGAACTTTTGAACACTGAGGTCGACGCATGTGCAATTTTTCTTAGAATAGGAATTTATATATGCGCTAGCAGTTATACCATAAATGTTTACTGTTATGGTATGCATTGCTCTGAGTTGTAATAAATATATTAAAGAACATTTTGCACCGTCATACAATATATAAAAGGCCGTGTTTAAGTTTCCGTCGACACGAGATAACAAAACAGAATATCAGCAATATCCGGATGAAATATAATCATTTCCATTCCTTTAGCATAGAATCAGGTGCGGCCGCTATTGATGATATTTCAGAGATACTCACGTCGTAGCTCTCATACCGCACTTTGGCTCGCAACAACATCACTTAAAATAAAGTAAGCATTTCTAGGAACAATACGTCAAATTATCACAGCAAAAAAAAATAACCATAATCGAAAGAAAAACAATTTTAGTATAAACATTTTTATGACCTCCCGTAATTTCTGAACGAAATATTTGTTCCAACTTGGTTAACAAAATGAGTCATTCGAACGTAAAAATTTTACTTTAAAGCTTAGAAATTAACAATGTTGATACATTCTCCAGATGTGACCCAAATGAAGACAAATTATGCATCATCGAGTATAAATTCGTTAATTTCACAGTTGGTTGGTTATGATATTACACATATTAATCGACATGTATACCATATTCAAAACTTTATGGATCACCACTGCGTATACGCAATATGCAGTTCTGTTCAAGCTGTGGTCCACCCAATGCCCGTATGATTTTCTAATAATATTATTTCAAAATTAAAAAAAGAATCAGAGCGTTGATATCAAATTGAATAGAAAAAATAACTTTACATTTTGTTTTTACAAAAAATGGTGATTTACATTCATAGCAAAACATACATTGATAAAACTGATTACCGAATAGCACTTTTTAGTATCATCTTTCTCTAACGGCTGGGCTGGAATCTCTGGGATCTTCATTGAGACGATTGAAGTTGGGTACCGATATTTTAAGTGCAAACCTATGATTATTTGACAGGTATGCGTCTTTTTCGTTCATGGGGATCATCTGTAGTAATGTTATTCAACAGCTTCTGAGTAGTGCTTAAAGTCAAGATTTACTTATCGAAATTAAGCATTTTAAAGAGAAATTTCAATTGTAATACGATTATTTTTCTCAATAATTTTCATACAATTCTCTTCCTTCTTTAAACATTTACAATTATTCAGGACCGCGCTCCATTATAAACACTTAATTCCATTTTTAAATAGTATAATACACCAAAAGTATGAGAGTAATGGATGACATAAAAATAATGGAAGACTTAACAAGAACATTTTTTAAAATTATAAAGAAATATACATATTTAGATAGCCTCATATATTAAACTTATTAATATACTTACTTATCATTAATTTATTTCTATAGTTCTCATTATTTGGCGAATTTATTTTACCCATTCGCATTTCAAATTTTATATCTTTTCAAAAAACTCGAATTCACAGCCAGTCACACAAATTCTCTTGGTCACAATCACAAAATTTTACTAAACTTTACTGAATTGTTTAAGGCCTTCTACTGAAGTGCTTTCAGCCACCTGCTTTCACATCACTTCCCAGAGTCTCTCATATATTATTTTAAATGAAAGTACAAACACACAACTGTGAAATTTTTGAATTAATTTATATTGCTAAATATATTTCAATTGCTAGCATATACTTTCACTACTTTCGTTGCTTAAATTATATATCTGTGTACATAAGTACGTGTTTGAGTAATTACCATATATACTCTCGTTTAATAGTACATATCCGTTGGCAGAAAATTCGATATATAAACACTTTATATTATATATACAAATATATTTACATAAGCGAAAATATATATTTAGATAAGTAGGTAAACAGGTGAATAAGGATTATCGTTACAAAAGTTAAATATAATGCGCTTACAATGGTGCTAATATACATGTATGAGATTGATTGTATAATAATCAGAATGCGTATGTAGCAGACGTCAAGACAGGTAAATTTTTATACGCTTGCTTGGCATGCGATAACAGCAAACGAAGATCAAAACAAATAACGATAATACTTAGGATTTGCATATTATTACTGTTTTTATAATATGATTATTTAATATATTTATATAATATATTCGAGGTGTGTTCAAAAAATAAATAATCCGTTGAAGTTGCACAGGAATCAGAAATGAAGTCACCGTCGATGCGGAATGACTGAAACGTGTTATAATAGCTGACGAAACATGGATTTACGGATATGACGCTGAAACTATGGCTCAATCGTCTCTATTTTATTCATTTCTTTTAACAAATGAAATTCGCCCAGCTCATAAAATACGTCTAAACTTATTGACTAATTCAACCAAAGTAAGCAAATAAGCTGAAAATTCTATTGTACCTTAGGGGCATGTATATCAATATAATAAACAATTTTGACAATTGAACACTCCAAGCCCGCGAAGTTTTAAAATTATTTTTTCAACACACATTATATTAAACACAGATAGTCTTTATAATGTTTCTTTTTAGAATTTATATAAATAAAATATATTAACCCGCTAAATTTGATATCTCAGATGAAAGCACAAAGTAACAATAATACGAGGGCTGCTATATATATTTCTGGTCTAGGCAGCACTAAGTGTTGCCAGGTAAAATCTGACATTTCCATTGGACAGTTTGACATTTTTTAGCATAACATTACTCAGAAGAAGCACTTCGAATCAAATTGTCGCCTGTTTCTTCGGCAAAACTGGTCATGTGGCGACTGTTCCACTTGAGCAACGTAGGACGGTCAATTCTGAGTAGTACACCACCATTTGTTTGCCTGAAGTCTTCGGAGTAATTCGAAAAACGCACAAGAGAAGACGAATCATTGTGCACCATGACAATGCGAGCTCTCACACATCGGCTCAAACCAGCGCCTTTTTGACCGGCCAAAACGTCGAATTGATGGGTCATCCGCCGTACAGCCCTGACTTGGCCCCCAATGACTTCTTTTTATTCCCACACATCAAGAAAATAATGCGTGGCCAACGCAGCTAAATTTAAAGTAGTGAGATTAAAAAGAACTGACCGAAAGCTAGCTCGTGGTACAGCTTTTTTCATATTTTGTGCATTTTAAATATAAAAAAATTTGCATAGAATGAACACAACCCAATTTCTATTGAATTCAAATGCTTTTATTATCGTTTTTAAGCTGAGTAAACTTTTGGTTCACCATGTCTATACATTATACATTGTAACATATTGCTACAGAGTATAATAGCTTTTTCACCTAACGGTTGTTTGTATCACCTTAAACTAATCGAAACAGATATAGGGTTATATATATATAAATGATCAGGGTGACGCGGCGAGTTGCAATCCGGATATCTACCTGTCCGTCCGTCTGTTAGTGTAAGCTGTAACTTGAGTATTTGTACACGTGTTCTTTGGCAAAAAAGTAAGGACGAGTTCGTAGATGGTAGACAATTGGACCACTGCCACGCCCACAAAACGCCACTAAACGAAAATCTATAAATTGCCATAACTAAGCACTTATTTTTTTTTTCGTAAGTGATCGCAGTAGCAAGGGGAATCGTGATTTTGAGACATTAAATTTTACATTCGAGATGGTACCAGAAGGCTTTATAGGAACCGTAACTGCAATATATGGACCCCAGTTTCTATTGCAAACTTTTTGTCAAACATATCGGTTAACCTGTGAGATATATTATAGAATTTTGTTATTAATAAACCTGTGTGACAAAAGTGGGTTGAATGGGATCAATAATTCCCTTAGTGTTAAGCATAAAATGAATAAAATCGGGCGAAGACTTGACCTAGCCGCCATACAAGTAATATCAGGATTTTAAAACATCCGGTTGACTTTATGCATACTCGTATATTAAATAGGTAATGATATGTTAGGTCCCTTAATGAAACTCATAGATCATCTTTTTCTGTGGTCATGGTAAAAATGGAAAAAAGCGGCTCAATACTATTTCCTATCAACCCTATCTCTCATTTGCCAAATGTAAGACTTTCAAACTTCTGAATGGCTTTATACCGTATATATCGGTCAATATGTAAGATATCTTCACATAATTAACTGAGCGGATAATATTGGAAATACTATAGTTTAATTGCGAATATATGTGATAATGGCCTATGTACCACATATAATGATTTTCGTTATTCTAACAAATCCTATGCTGAATATGTTTGTCAGTGTATGGGTTATATATTTATAAAATTAATTTCCTTATTTGCTAAGCTTAATTTTATTTGTCAGATTTAATTTTTGCGAAAAATTATGCATGAAAGCAAAAGACGTGCTTGGTAAACATATTTCTTACGCTTTTGTAAATACACATTATAAATGTGATTGGCTTAAATACACCTTAATACTTAAAAAAAAATGCTTGCTTTTTACCGATTTTAATAAGAATTTAAGATAAGGGACCAATCACCTAATTTTGCATATGATCAGTGTCAGTTATCAGATATATACTCCTACAATATATAAATAATTAAAAAAGTTATGCTATAATACCTTTCAGAGGAAAATTTTTTATTGCAACTATATATAAATCTGAAAGCTTAATGGCTTGCATCCAATGTAAGACATTTTGCTAGTTCTTTCTTGCACTTATTTTTTGATATAAACAACATTCAAGTCAAATTAAGTTTACTAAATAAAGAAAAAAGATCTTTAGCTTTCATGACTGGCTAAACTTACTCATCTCATTATAATAACTATTTATTTATATACTTTGCCGACTGTTATCTTGGGTGTTACAATCATCGTGGCAAACTTA